ACATGGTCTGGGGAAACCAAGTCAACAGCAGGCTATGGAGCAGGTATGGGTCATGCCCCTTAGTTCACCAGTTACCAATGCCAGCTTCCTGTTAGTGGGGAGACTTTTGAACGATGAGCTTACGGTATGAAAGCCTCTTGCATACTTTTTTGCCTGTCTTACTTTTTTTTTCTTGCAGTTTTTGGTTGGGGTCAGGTTTGAACCCACCACCTCTGGTATATGGGGCTGGAGCCCTACTCCTTTGAGCCACAGGTGCCATCCACTTTCTTTATTTTTTTGAGATAGAGTCTCACTATGCTGCCCTCAGTAGAGTACCATGGCATCACAGTTTACAGCAACCTCAAACTCTTGGGCTTAAGCGATTCTCTTGCCTCAGCCTCCCAAGTAGCTGGGATTACAGGTGCGTACCACAATGCCTGGCTATTTTTTTATTGCAGTTGTTTAGCTGGCCCAGGCTGGGTTTGAACTCACCACCCTTGGTGTATATGGCTGGCTGTAACCACTGTACTATGGGTGCCAAGCCCTTACTTTCATATTATTTCTAATAATTTATACTTATTTGGGGTTTCTATTTATATAATCATACCGACTGAGACATGAGGACGATGGGGCCGGGTCTCAGCACAGACCGCAGTTGGTTTCATTCTTCAAAACAGAAAGGAAGGAATGTAACACATTTTACAAGAGGCTCATCTACATCGATACAAACACAAGGGACATAATTTTTTTAAAATCCAGAAATTGTAAAAGAAAAGACTGATAAATGCAAGTAGGATTTAAAAATAACTTCTCCTTGGAGTAAACACTTTCAGCCAAGTCAAAGGACAAATAACAAACTGGGGAAAATGTTTATGTCTAGACAAAAGACACTCTGCCTTACATGGGAAAAGGTCTAGGGCTTGAGCGCTGTGGCTCATGCCTATAACCCTAGCACTCTGGAAGGTTGAGGGAGGAAGATCACTTGAGGCCAGGAGTTTAAGACCAGTCTCTGGAAGAGCAAAACTCCGTCTCTATGTAAAAGTAGAAAAATAAGTGAACGTGGTGCCAGGCGCCTGTAGTCCCAACTACAGGGGAGGCTGAGGCAGGAGGACTGCTTAAGCTGAGGAGTTTGAAGTTGCTGTGAGCTATGACAACACCACTACACTCTAGGGCTAGCCTGGGTGACAGAGTGAGACACTGTCTCCAAAAAATAAAAATTAAAATCAATTTATTAATTAATAAAAAGAAATACAATTGTCATTTAAAACATGAAAATATGATCAGTTTCACTCATAATAAGATGAATATATATTAAAACTATATGGATATAACTATTTCTTACCTACTCAAGTTTGAAAACACCCACTGTGCCAAGACTATAAGAAACTAAGACTCACGTATTCCTCATGGAAGTGCAAAATGAAGTTAAGAAAAAAACTCTAAGCTGCAGAACTTCAGTATCGTTTGTGTAAAACAAAGAGGAATTTTTTTTTTTTTTTTGAGATAGAGTCTCACTATGTCACCCTCGGTAGAGTGCTATAGTGTCACAGATCACATCAACCTCAAACTCTTGGGCTTAAGTGAGTCTCTTGCCTCAGCCTCTCGAGTAGCTGGGACTATAGGTGCCTGCCACAACACCCGGCTATTTTTTTGTTGTAGTTGTCTTTGTTGTTTAGCTGGCCCAGGCTGGGTTCAAACCCATCAGCCTTGGTATATGTGGCCGGCGCTCTAACCTCTGAGCTACAGGCGCCAAGCTAAAATTTTAAATATGAATTTTTTCCCCTCACATTGTCATAAAACTCTGAAATAAATGACAGTAGTACATTATAAACAAGTAAACAACTTGCATTTCAAATTCACAAAAGAAATAAAAGTAAGGGCTTGGTGCCTATAGCTCAACCAGCTAAGGCGCCAGCCACGTACACCTAAGGTAGCGGGTTCAAATCCCCAGCCCAGACCCGCCAAACAACAATGACGGCTGCAACCAAAAAACAGCCGGGCGTTGTGGCGAGCGCCTGTGGTCCCAGCTACTTGGGAGACGGAGGCAGGAGACTCACTTGAGCCCAGGAGTTAGAGGTTGCTGTGAGCTGTAATGCCACGGCACTCTACCCAGGGGGACAGCTTGAGGCTCTGTCTCAAAAAAAAA